TCTACTCACTTGGTCCTTTTCCTGTGCTGCCATTGGGTCGGTGGCTGCTACCAGGCCTTCTAGCTGGGATGCTCCTTCCCTGCCACACAGGTGGTCCTTTCTCAGGGGGGAGGTGAAGTGCCAAGTTTTCAGCCTTCCAAGGTCCTCTGCCTGCAGGTGAGCCCTTCTCCATCTAGGCCCCCTCACAGGCTCCTGCCTCCAGCCTCACATCCTTTTCTCTCTCTCTCTCACCCAAATTCTTCTGCTGCTGTGCAGACTCAGCTACTTATAAAGGTTGTCCTGGCCCCTTGCCAAGCCTCTTTTTGGGGATTGGCCAGGATCCCTTAAGAGTATAAACTAGCCACTCCTCAGATCCGCCCACTGCTTCTAGACCTTTCCCCAAAGTTCTAGAGCAGGGGGAAATTTCAGCGGGGCTGGTCTTCAGTCCTGACCACAATTGGACCCCCCTTTGACTGTTGCACCAGGCTGCTACTCAGCCTCTGCCTAACAATTAGGATCTAGCTCCCCCTAGTTATCTAAGAGGGTGCTACACATGTGAAATTGATCTTTTGAAGTGCTACCTCAAGTACCATTTTCTAATGTTCAGTAAACAGAGTTTCGATAAAGAAGTTGCCTGTGTCATCTACTGGGAAGAGGAAATCATGAAATATAAAAATATGCAGTTATGGTATATCACAAAGGAGGAACTAGCAGTGAAGTTATGTCTAACCCTCCGGGTTAAGAAGAAGATTGAGTCCACATTTAAACCTTCAGGATGATGAAGCCGAGATGTCTGGTATCAAGTGTAACCTAATTAACCCTTGAGGTTATGAGTAATGGAGTGTATATGAAGAAGCAGCCAGCTAACAATGGAAGCAGTGATGGTGGCAGAAGACAGTGGTCTTGATAGTGAAGGAACAGGGGATACATCATGTTCCCTACTTAGTGGCTAGGTCTCCATATTGGAACCTGCTATGGTACAAAGCCTGCCTAGGGACCAAGGTCATGTAATGCAAGGCCTTGTTGAACTATGGTGGCTTCCCTGTGCACCTAATGGTGAAAACAAATTAAGCTGGTGCAGTTAAATGCATATTAAGTATTTCTTTCTCAAAAGAAAATTCAACGGAGTCTTGTGTCAGGACAGATAGGAACAGACCATGTCAGTGGCTGAAGAGGTGAAGAAGTAGATGTGGTTCTAAGAGGGTGCTATTGCGGCTTTAGGCCTGAAAGTGTATATGACACCTGAACTAACTCTGAACGTATAAAGAGAAAACTTTGATAGTCCTTAGGTGCCCCTGGGAGGGTGAGGTTTGAGGAGTCTGAAATGGCCCCGACCTGCTCACATGAGCATGCACCGTAATGGCGGCACTGGAAGTTCCTTGATAGCATGATAGAAGTTGGCCATTGGGAGGACAGTTTTACATCACCAAGAACAAGGACAGCCAATAGAAAACTGGTTACAAGAGAGCAGCCAAAGGTTTGTGATAAATAGGGTGTATTCAGAATGGTCTGAAGTGGTAAGTGGGGTGTCACAAGGCTCTGTCCTGGGACCAATTCTGTTTAATTTATTCACAAATTATGTAGAGGTTGGGATAAATAGCTGAATCTCAGTATTTGCTGATGATACAGTACAAAGCTGAGAAGGGCAGTTACTTCACAACAAGATATAGAACCCTTACAAGAAGACCTCAATAAAAATATGGGGGGTGGGCAACTGCACGGCAAATGACGTTTTATGTTGAGAAATGTAGAGGAATGCACTTGGGGACCAAAAGCATGAATGTAAGTTGCTTGCTAGGAGGAGAACCTTTGGGGGAATCCAGGATGGAAAAAGATCCAGGGGTCCTAGTAGATCACAGGCTCAGCAATGGCATGCAATGCCAAGCTGCAGCATGTAAAACAAGCCGAACATTAGCATGCATTAAAAAGGGTATTTATTCAAGGGATAAAACTATAATTCTGCCACTTTACCTGACTCTGGTTGACTCTGTTTCTCCTCCCCACCCCACCTCCTCTTCCATATTTGGAACTTAATTTTGTTTTTTGGGGGGAGCGGGTACCTGGTTTTTACAGGTACCTGCCCCCTCCAAAAAAAAAAAAAAAGTGTAAAATATGGCAGAAGAGGAGGGTGAGGGGAAGAGGAGAAACAGAGGAACTCCCCATTTTGGGTGAAGTTCTGCTTTAAGAAAGTATCAGCTCAAGTGTAAGTAATGCACATATTTGAGAACGCAGTTACTTTGGTTTCTCTTGCCTTGGCTCAGTTTCCATAATAGTTATCAAGTAACAGATATAAAAGGAATGATATGGAAATGTAGAATAGAACACAAATGAGATATTTCCATTCAGAAATGGCAGGTGAGAGGTTTGATCTGAAGACTGAATTAGACAGTTCAGCACCAGAACGCAGTACAATTCAAAGGTTCCCCTCTAGCATTCGCTGGCCCGGAAAATTAAAAGACAGGAACTTATTGGTCTGGTTATCAGTGAATGGAACCTGTGTAATAGGAAAGTTTCCAAACCCAAGATAGCAAAAGAAAAAAATATACAGTATATAGATATATATAAAAACACATTTTCTCCATACTTTCTGCACCTGAAGGCAATTTCCTACAACCACTGGTCTAAAACAAATTCTAAAAATATGAAATGATGTATGCCACTGAGACTATTGATAAAACATTTTATGGAAAAAAATAAGTGCAACTTTTGTAATCGTACATTATGTGGCCTCGAAGAACCCATGTCCCCAAAAGTGATACTTTAGATATAGATGAAGCCTGCTGGGCTGAGCCAGTCCCTGGCTTCTTATATGTCTTGGATATTCCATCAGTGAGATCTCCCTACCATAGTTCTTGACTCCACTTTGGAGTTTTGGGTGTTCTCACCAATCCCTAAAAGCTTCTCCTGTTACACTCTATACAATATGAAAAAAAATCCAGTAAGGATGGTAGAAGACCCTCATAATGGGCACCGCAGGTGTGCAGACCCAGGAAGTCATGTCAGACATGGTAGGAGCTGCTCATAATGGGTATAATAGGTGTACCACATCCAGGAACGCATCTCAGGCATGTGGGAGCCCCTCATAATGGGGACATTAGGTGTGCAGAATTGGGAACCTATTGTTAGAGCTAGAATTTTCTCTAACCAACTCCTTGCTATAAACATTTTTGAGAATGCCCCTAAACTGGCCCTCATCATAGGTCTGAGGACAAACAAAATCATTTATGATTCATTTAGGTAAGTGGTCTTCAAAACAATGGGGCATAATGCCTGCCACTGACACAATGGGGCACTATTTCCTCTACTGACACCAACAAACGGGCACAATTCCTTCCATGGACACCAATGACGGGGCACTATTCCTCCCACTGACACCAACGATAGGGCAGTATTCCTCCTATTGACACCAACAAAGGGGAACAATTTCTCCCACTAACACCAATTATGGGCACTATTCCTCCCACTAACACCAATTATGGGCACTATTCCTCCCACTGACACCAACAATAGGGTACTATTCCCCCTACTGACACCAACGAATGGGCACAATTCCTTCCATGGGCACCAATGATGGGCCACTATTCCTCCAACTGACACCAGCAGAGAGGCACTATTCCTCCCACTGACACCAATGCTGGGGCACTAGTCCTCTCATTGACACCAATGATAGGGCACTATTCCTTTCGCTTACATCAAAGATGAAGCAATCTTTGCTCCCACTGACACCAATGCATTTTCTACTTCCACTGGGCACAGTCTGGCTCCTCTAAATTCTGAAGGACAGTAAACTGACCCTTACTTTCGAAAGTTTAGAGACCTCTGATTTAGGTAACAAAAAAATTTCTTCTGCAACCTGAGCAATTCAGGCTAAGCAAACCTCATGTCAAAATTATCAATTGATCCAGAGATATCTGGAGATATTATTGAACTCTACCCCACCCACACCACTTCCTAAGCGTCTTTGTTCATTAGTGTGATGGATGGAAGTCAAGAGCAGGGCTTAGGAGATGTGAAAGATGGGGCTGGGAAGGTGTGAAATGTGATGCTTGGGAGGTGTGAGGGGTGGCGCCTTGAAGAGGTGGGGCTGGGGAGGTGTCAGAAATGGTACTGGGTTGATGTAAGGGGTGCGGCTTTAGAAAATTGAGGGGTTTGTATAGGGAGGTGTCAGTGTGTGTGTGTGGGGGGGGGGAATAGAGAGATGTAAGGAGGAGCTTTGTAATTGTGAGGCAAGGGGCTTAGGTGGTGTGACTGGTGGGGATTGGGAGGTTTGACACTGGGGGGGGGGTATGGGGGTGAGGCTCTGGAGGTATGAGGGGTAGGGCTGAGGAGGTGACATGGGTGTAGCTTTACAGGTGTGAAGGGTATGTATAGGGAGGTGCGAGTGGTGGGGATGGGGTGATCTAAGAGGTGGGGCTGAGAAGGTGGCAGGAATGGAGTTTTGTAGTTGTGAGTTGCGCTTTAGAGGTCTGACTGAAGGGACTTGGGAGGTGTAACTCTGGTGGTAGGAAAGGTAAGGGTCTGGAGGAGTGAGCAGTGGAGCTGGGATGGTGTCAGAGGGGGAGTGGCAATGTTTTTAGTCATGGGGCTGTGAAAGTGTGAGGCTAATAAAAAAAATTCCCACATATGGGATTTTTTTTTAATTTTCTACATTCAATTTTAATTCTTTAACCACTTGCCTACTGGGCATTTATACCCCCTTTCCTGCCCAGGCCAATTTTCAGCTTTCAGTGCTGTCACACTTTGAATGACAATTGTGCGGTCATGCAACACTGTACCCATGAAATTTTTATCATTTTTTCACAAACATAGAGCTTTCTTTTAGTGGTATTTACTTTCCGCTGGGTGTTTTATTTATTTGTGCTAAAAACAAAAAAAAAGCAAAACATTTGGAAAAAAAAAAGTTTTTGTTTGTATTAAAAATTTTGCAAACAGGTAATTTTTCTCATTCACTGATGTGCGTTGATGAGGCTGCACTGATGGGCACTGATAGGCAGCACTGATAGGCGGCACTGATAGGCGGCACTGATGGGCAGTACTGATGAGGTGGTACGGATAGGCAGCACTGATAGGCGGCACTGATGGGCAGTACTGATGAGGTGGTACGGATAGGCAGCACTGATAGGTGGCACTGATGATGCTGCACTGATATGCAACAATGATGGGCACTGATAGGTGGCACTGACTGACGGCACTGACTGACGGCACTGATGGGCAGCACTGATGGGTGTTACTGATGGGGGGCACTGCTGGGCACTGGTGGGTAGCACTGCTGGGCACAGGTGGGTGGCACTACTAGACACTGATGGGCACAGGTGGGTGGCACTGCTGGGCACAGGTGGGTGGCACTGCTGGGCACTGATCATCACGGCACTGATGATTGGTGCCGATCCGTCCTCTGACAATTGCCGGGTATCGGCAGTACTTTCCTCACGCTGTGACAGAGTGAAAAAAGTGCAACCGATAACCTGCAACTGTATTTACCCGGTGATCTGCTGTGTCATTGGACACAGCTGATCACGTGGCAAAAGGCTGCTGTGATTGGCCTTTTACCACATCACGTGATCAGCTGTGTCCCGTAGGACATAGTGATCACAGAGATCACCAGGTGCGCGCCCCCGGGAGCAAGCGGGAGGGCGTGTTCTAGGAAGAAGTCATATGACGCCCTTGCAGAACTGCACAACCACGCTGTAGCTGTCATTCGGCTATAGCGCGGTTGGCAAGTGGTTAACCACTTCTAGTCTGGACACTTTCCCCCCCTTCCTGTCCAGGGCAATTTTCACACTTTGAATGACAATTGCGCGGTCATGCAATACTGTACCCATATGAATTTTTTACCATTTTTTTGAGACAGATAAAGCTTTATTTTGGTGGTATTTATTCACCGCTGGGATTTTTATTTTTTTTACTATGTAAATGAAAAAGTCTAAAAATTTTGAAAAAGTGTTTTTTTTAAATAAAATTTTGCAATAAATAATATTTCATCATAAATCTTGGCCAAAATTTATTCCGTTATTTTTTTAGTAAAAAAAAAAAATCCAAATTAGTTTATAACCAAAAATTATAATTTTTAAACATTTTTTTTTTTACATTTTTATTTTATTTTTTTTATATTATTATTATTTTTTTTTTTTTTACATACTGTCACCCTAGCAGTACAGTATCACCATGGTGACACTGTACTACTTGTGGGGGGTGATGAAGATTTTTTTTTTTTTTTTTTACACTGATTGCTTTTACACCCATATAGGATGTAAAAGCAATCATTTCTCTTTCTCTCTGTCTGCATTCTTGCAGTCATTGAGAAGTACTGAGTGAGCTGTGATTGGTCACAGCTTGTCACATGGTACAAGGCTGTTGTGAATAGCCTTGTACCATGTGACCTCTGTGATCATTCACAGATTTCACACGTAGTAAGCAATGATGTCACAAGTGACATCTTGCTTACTACTTTGCATGTGATCACTGAATCGCCAATCGGTGATCACATGATCGGGACCTCGTACAGAGGTCCCGTCTGCCGATCGGTGTTTCACTGTGTCCGGAGGACACAGCCGGCACCGTATCGCGGGGGTTCGCGCTCCCAGGGAGCGCGCACAGCTAGAAAAGGCGGGTGCCGTTTAGGAACACCAACCCGCCCCTGGAGTGCCACCGCCCTGCTGTTTATAAACAGCAGGCGGACGGCAAGAGGTTAAACATTTTTTTGTAACATATCTTTATTACTATCAGAAGGACACTGACACCAAAGATCTACCTAAAAGGAAACCTATGATGGCATACTGTAGATACGAAGTGTGTCCAGAAAGTAATGAGAATGATATTTAAAAAATTATTTTATTAAAAAAAAGCACGATTGGACATTGTCTCCTTCAAAGTATGCACCTTGTGAGTGTGCACAACGCTTCCAGTGATTTTTCCATTCTTCATCCCTGGAAGTCTTCAAGTGGTATTGCGTTCAGAGCAGGGGCAGACTGACCATTTGGAAACTCGGGCACTGCCCGAGGGCCCGGGGTCAGTAGGGGGCCCCATGAGATGCCCCTGGTACCTTTTTCATAAGCTTTTTTCTCAAATATAGTGTGAAAACACACTTCGCTCAATGCAAAAAAGGATGATCAAGCTCAGGGGTGGACTGACAACTCATGGGCCCCCGGGCAATAGGGGATCATGGGGCCCTTGTGTCCTTGCCCAAACACAAAAAAGCCTATGAAAAAGGTACCAGGGGCATCTCATGGGGCCCCCTACCGACCCCGGGCCCTCGGGCAGTGCCCGAGTTTCCAAATGGTCAGTCCGCCCCTGATCAAGCTATCAAACTCACTCTATACATGATAATCTATATCAAATCCATACTGTGTAGTGCCCAAAGTACAAAATAAAGTGTTCCACTCCAGCTGGTGTAAAAATGAATAATTACCCTCTGCCAGTACTAACAGGCACTCCTCAAATGATGGATGAAAAAACAGTCTCCAAGATCCTAATTACTCTTGTTGTTTCTTCTCCATGTTCCTCATGGAATAAACCAAGGATTAAAGATGATGGTATAATCAATAAAATTCCTTTTTATTAAGAGACTTACATCTTAGACTAAAGAAAACAGCTCCCAATGATAGAGATATTAACTAAAAATTCTTCCTGCGCCTAGTGAAACACTCTACTACAGGTTCTATCCTGCTGCTGTGCACTGTGATCAACACAAAATAATGAAAAAATAGAGAAAAACAGCGCAAACATAGACCTCTAAATAGACTCAATATACAAAGTGCAAACATAAATAAAAAATTGATCAATAGTGAAGTCCATCAAGATAAACCAAAGTTCAAAAAATATCAAAAAATATTTGTGCAAAAAGAAATATTTTTCAAATTCTTCTTCTATTATAAAGGAACTTCCACCTTCCACCCGTGAAAACCAATATCAAATACACTCACCAGATAAAGGTGAATAAAACGCCTCTTAGGAATTTATGGGATCCTAAACCCTCTTTCGTATTCACTCTATAGGAATCCTCCTCTCCAGCATAGGCTCCACCATCCGACCAGGGAGAAAAAAATCTCAGATAGTGTAATATTGTAAAACACCATTTATAAGTGAAATCAAGGATTAAGGCCACTCACATTAAATTCACTTTAAAAAGGCATATTTATTAGGACCAGCTTCTTTCAGATGAACAGTAGATGCAAGGCAACCTCCCACGGAATCTCACATCACAGCTCCAGGTTACAGCAGAAGCTCTACAGAGACACCGCATATACAGATCCCAAAAGATGGCCGCTGGAACGCACCGCTCAGCGTGCGCTCCACTCACCGGAAGTGACGTCAGACGTACGGAATAGAAACCGGAAATGCGTCAACGCGTTTCGCCCCTCCCATCGGGCATTCTCAAGACCAGGTCTTGAGAACGCCCAATGGGAGGGGCGAAACGCGTTGACGCATTTCCGGTTTCTATTCCGTACGTCTGACGTCACTTCCGGTGAGTGGAGCGCACGCTGAGCGGTGCGTTCCAGCGGCCATCTTTTGGGATCTGTATATGCGGTGTCTCTGTAGAGCTTCTGCTGTAACCTGGAGCTGTGATGTGAGATTCCGTGGGAGGTTGCCTTGCATCTACTGTTCATCTGAAAGAAGCTGGTCCTAATAAATATGCCTTTTTAAAGTGAATTTAATGTGAGTGGCCTTAATCCTTGATTTCACTTATGAATGGTGTCTTACAATATTACACTATCTGAGATTTTTTTTCTCCCTGGTCGGATGGTGGAGCCTATGCTGGAGAGGAGGATTCCTATAGAGTGGATACGAAAGAGGGTTTAGGATCCCATAAATTCCTAAGAGGCGTTTTATTCACCTTTATCTGGTGAGTGTATTTGATATTGGTTTTCACGGGTGGAAGGTGGAAGTTCCTTTATAATAGAAGAAGAATTTGAAAAATATTTCTTTTTGCACAAATATTTTTTGATATTTTTTGAACTTTGGTTTATCTTGATGGACTTCACTATTGATCAATTTTTTATTTATGTTTGCACTTTGTATATTGAGTCTATTTAGAGGTCTATGTTTGCGCTGTTTTTCTCTATTTTTTCAATGATAGAGATATGCTTTAGTTCAGGAACAATCGCATGTTCCCACTTCCAAAATGGCCACGATCGCACTTCCGCTTCTGTGTGAGTGTGTCAAACGTCACGTGTCCCGACGCGTTTCGTCACTTCCAGGATCTTTTCTCAAGGGGATATTGGATGTCTACACTCCCTATTGCGGACAGTAACTCAGTGTTCCCACTTCCAAAATGGCCATGATCGCACTTCCGCTTCTGCGTGAGTGTGTCAGATGTCACGTGTGCCGACGCGTTTCGTCACTTCCAGGATCTTTTCTCAAGGGGATATTGGATGTCTACACTCCCTAATGCGGACTGTTACTCAGCACGGTGTTGACCCAGCTGTTCTTTTATGACGTGCCTTGACTTTATTGTCCTTTGTGAGTACAACACCGACTTTATTTCTTATGAAACATTTTGTATGGTAATGCACTAGGCCTGTGCGCCCTCTGTTTGTTCTTTCCTCATTCAGTCACCGTTGCCGCTCTCTGTTCTCTTTAGGGCAACAAACATCTCTACCTAGCTACCCAATGCATTATGACATCACAACGCCCGCTAGATCGGGGCAGGGTGAGATTTAGGGCCGTTTAATTTGGCTCTCGCTCCGTCCTGCAGCACAAGATACCAGAAAAGTTTTATGATCTATCCGAAGCTGTGACCGCGCCGTAGATTACCGATGACAGCCCCATGATACACTGCCGCAAAAATAAAATAAAAAACACGTCGTAAGGAAAAAAAACAATTCAATCTAATCTCGCACATATAGGGCCGCGTTTTCATGGCGCCGCCATCAATCTTGTAACGGCAGATTGATAAAGGAGAATCCCTGTGACATTTTTTCACGCTCATCCCAAATTTCACTGCCTCGGTTAGCCTGATTTTTATGGTCGCAAATCCATCTTCCGGCAAAGTTGTTACAGTTCTATGGCCGCTTTAATGGATCATTCGCAGTCTAACCTGAGCCAAGTACCTCCCAGGGATGTTATATTTGTTCTGCCTTGTTGTGGTCGGACGGATTGCATGCATTTTTTTTTTTTTTTTATTAAATGATAGTCCTATCGATACAGTGAGTATCCGCTCTTTTATGGCGCTCAGTGCAGTGCTGTCCACATTTTTTCCACTTACCCTCCAAAGGATTCCCCCCCCCCCCTTCCTGACCAGACCATTTTTCTGCGATACAACGCTGCGTTACTTTAGCTGACAATTGTGCGGTCATGCAACGCTGCACTCAAATGAAATTTACGTCCTTTTTTTCCACAAATGGAGCTTTCTTTCGGTGGAATTTGATCACCTATGCGTTTAAAATTTTTTGCACTATAAACAAAAAAAGATCAACAATTTTGAAAAAAATTTACATGCTATAAAACGTATCCAAAAAAAAAAAAATTTAAAATCATATTTCGCTTTCTTTCCGTTTTATTTGATCGCCTGTGCAGTTTAAATTTGTTTACGCTATAAACAAAAAAAATTCCCCTCAGAGAAAATCAATTTAAGATCTGGCAGATCCAGAGGTGGTGAGAGCACCATGTGGCGT